GGTTGATGAGGAGAGGGATTCTTACTAGAAATCTTCCTTTTTCCTGGTTGTGAGATCCGGTCCCGATATGCTAGGATCCTTTGCTGGTGTTGTTTGAGCGCTCCAAATTTGGCAGCAGGGAAAGAGATTAGCTCCAGAATGGAGCTATCTGGTTGAGGGAGATCGAAATCCATGCCTCAGATTATCATGCTTAAGGCCTTTAGTGGTGGAGGTGAGGCTTTTGGGCCAGGCTTGCGTGGCCATGCTGTCTGCTCCTTCACCGAACGAGTTGAGTTCGGATGCAGGGGAGCCGCCTAGGTAGACCCATCCCGCAGTCAAGACAGAGCTATTCATATAGGCTTTAAGTTTGCAGAATGGCGTGATTTTTAAGGAAAGGCAACACGTCATATGCATGTGTCCATGCATCTGTGAATAGTTGGCGTAGTGAGAAAGGAAAACACGGTTGTTTTGATAATAACAGTGTTGTTGAGCTTTCCCAACTAGAACAGGGTTGTTTGGCTGTCGTGGCAGTAAGAGCCGAGAGGTAAACAAATCCGTTACTTATTCTTGGCTAAACCTCGCCGCACCATTGCCTGGAATGGTGGGCCAAAATAATGATGGAATTAATTAGAGGCCAATCTGGATGTATGGAACGTTACGGTGGTTGTGGATTTCTTCATACCCAACAAAAAGGAACCAAAGCAATGGTTTTTAATTGGCAACTGTGATAATCACAACCATGGAAGTTTATCGCCAATATGGAAATTTTAGGTGAAGTTAATGTTCATTTTAGGTGTTTTGGATTATGTCAACAATTTGGTTCATAATTCTTATAAACCAAATTGTGGGGGGCATTTGTTGACACCTAAAATTAATTTGTCCTGAAATTAAATGCCGCATTAATTAGTCTCGGCGTTTAACTCGATACCGCAGGTAAAAAACGGTGTCGAGCGGTGTCGCGGAGAGTTAAATTGATACCGCGAAACAGAAAAGCGGTACCGCGGCATGGAAAACGGCACCGCTTAATGAAAATAAAAGAAAGCCGCGCGTTTAATGAATGAGGAGGAGTTTTGATTATTTAATCATTATTTTTTTTATTCCTTGTGGGAAGCGGCACCGCGGAGAGTTAAAATGGTACCGCAAGGAAGCTCAGCGGTACCGCGGTACTGGAAACGATACCGAGAATAAAAAAGGGGCGCGCGGTTAGGGAGTTTGTTTATAATTAATTATTATTATTATTATTTTTCCTTATTGGAAGGGGAAAATCGGTACCGCATGGAGTTAGGCGGTATCGCGGAGAGTTAAAACGGTACCGTGGAATTAAAAACGGTGCCGCGAGAGCCTGGTAAGCGGTACCGATTAATTAAAAATTCACTCGGCCCAATGCGAGTGCCGACTGTGGCGGTTCTATGGATTAATATGTTTTGACTATACCGGCGGTGTCGTTTAATTCAAAACGGTACCGCGAGTAAGCCCAACGGTACCGCGGACTAGCAAACGACAGTGTTTACAATAACAAACAATGTTGCAAAAAAGGAAAAACAAACGGAGTTGTTATGGCGCTAGTGATGTCGTTGGCCATAGCTAGTGATGGACGGATTAATTAATTAATTAATATTTTAATGGCTGTTTAGGACGGTGTCGTTTAGTTGAAAACGATGCCGCAAGAGGAAAGAAACGACACCGCGGATTTGAAAACGATGTCGCGGGTATGATCAAGCGGTGTTGTTTAGCTAAAAACGACACCGTTTAAGGCATCAACAACGCCGTAGTATTACTAAGCGATGTCGTTTTGTTAAAAACCATACCACGATGGTTTGGATTTTTGGCGAGTGGCCCGGCAAGCTCAACGACCCCGCAAGACAAGAAAAACGGTACCGTTTGGTAGAGAACAATGTCGTGGAATGAAAACGACATTGTTTGATGGGACCGGGACAGAGCAGTTCAAGGTCGGCATCGATTAGTGAAAAACGATGCCGCAGGAAGTATCAACGACATCGCGGTATCATAAACGATATCGTTTGATTAAAAACGATATCGCAGTGGTTAAGAGCTCGGCCAAAAGTGGCCCGCCAAGCCCAACGACGGCGCAAGACTAGAGAACGACGTCGTTTGATGGACTAACAATGTCGTTGGTTAAACCGGGTCGGGGCAGTTGAGTTGGATTATAAAACGGCATCGGTTGGTGAAAGGCGATGTCGTGGTATTGGTGAAACGTCATCGTTACATGGACAAGGTTGTAAGTCGTTTCGCCAAGTTTCTGCAAAGCAAGAGCGGTTTCGAGGGCACGTGATTATCACACAACAAGGAGGAAGTTACCTGCACGGTTGAGAGGAATGAAGACGTGGGAGACAAAGGCGCCAAGGCAGTTACTACGACTGGGAGAAGCGCGAAGTATAAAGATTGGGAAGAGAGAGAAGCTCGAGACGGCAAAATCAACTCACAAACTGCACCGTCGCAGATTATCAGTTTTTCTCTCTAGTTTTCGTAGAACCGCTCTGTCAAAGACCTCCTCTGCAGAGTCGTAGTAGTCTAGTCGTAGTTGCGGAGCTCTCCAGAGGAACCTCCATAGGAGTAGAGGTAACGTAACTTAGAATACTCTTGGTTTGGTTTCCCATTTCTCGTTGAACACCCTCGTTCGAACGTAGTTTGGAGAGGTGGTGAACCAAGTACGGTTGTTTGATTAGAGGTCAAAGGTGCATCGATCAAATCAACGACGCCGACACCGGCGGCGGCCATTTGACGATCGTCTTGGTTTCTTCTTTAATCGATCAAATCAACGGCGCCGACATTCGGCGGCGGATATTTGACGGTTGTGATTGATGTGTGTTTGGTGTTTTTTTTTCTTGAAAACCGTGCGCAGTTAACACACGAGTTTCGCCAACGAAACACCGGTTAATCGACAAAATAACCGAGAACCAACTATACAGTTACGGTTAACCGACTCATATAGACGATGCGATTAACAATAAGCACAAAGTACTTAACGATTAACCGAGAACTGACAAAACGGTTCCGGTTATAACCAAACCAATTGTCACCCCTACTTATTATCATATTATAACTTAGCCGGCCAGTATCTCAACGTAGATGACTATGATAAATAAGATTAAATAATATTTAAACTATAATTATATGGTGAGAAATCGATATCATGATAACATAACGACTTGAATTTGTTTTTGGGGTAGATCAACTACTTGAATTTTATATCAATTGAAAGTGGTCATATTACAAAAAAAAAAAAAAAGATATCTAAGATAAATGTTTTATTTCTGTAAGGACAAAATATAATTAAAACAAAAACAAAAAAAGAAAAAGAATTAGATGGAAGTGGAACTCTTACGAATGTATTTTTCTATATTTGAGTAATATTCGATACACAATTTTCGCTTAAATAGTATAACTCTCCCAATTTTCATATTTAAATAGTATCCAAACTATTTTACACGTAAACACGGTCCTAATCAAAGCAAAAATTAGGGTGCTATCACTCAATTTTTTAGTATTTTTTTTTGACAAAACTCAATTTTTTAGTATGACGCTAATACAAATTTCATTGAATAGCAATATTTTATCTTGATGGCTTTTCAATTTCAAGGATTGACCACAATTAATGGGATTTATAGAGGGAGGGACACACTTGTCATTATTAAAATTTTTAGAGGCACACGCGTGTGGTGCTGGTCTTTAATTTGTCCTCACTCCAAGGATCACGAAACATACCATAGAACACATAACAGAAACACAAGAAAGCACACCATGATTATAATCAAGCAGACCATAAAGCTTATAAAGCCTATCAGAATCTTGCCACGCCATAAAATTCATCAAGCATACCTGAAACTTGAAAGCAAACCTCAAGTTCTCTACAGTATACCAGAAATCTCATAAAGCATACCAGAAGTTTCCTGAAGCAGACCATCAGTTTCTTAATGCAGACCACAAGTTTCCTCAAACACACCAGAAATCTCATAAAGTATACCACAAGTTTATTAAACTAGAACACAAGTTTCTTAAAACACACCACAAGTTCTCTGAAAGCATATCAGAAACCTCACAAACATACCACAAGCTTTTAAGGCACACCACAAGTTTCTTAAAGTAGACCAGAAATCTCATAAAGCATACCACAAGTTTATTAAAGCAGACAACAAGTGTTTGAAACCATATCAGAAATCTTATAAAGTAAACAAAAAACCTCATAAACTTGGACCTATATGTAAATTTTAAAAGTTTAGCTATCAAAACGCAAAACATAGAATTTATAGATACTAAATATAATTTTGCATCGATATTTTTAGGACCTTTAAGCAAAAAAGGTACTATAATTCCCTTATAATTAGTGTTAGTAGGGTGATAATTACACTAAGAAGTATTAGCACCTAGGGGTGTACAACAATCCGACCCTATCTGTACAAGACAAAACAGATGAGAATGCGGTCCAATTGTGAAAGACATCTTAGGACCCAAGATCATACCAATTGTGCATTCGGTCCGGTTTGGTCCAGTCGAAATGTCAATTCGGTCAATTCTCCTTCTGTAATTATAAAATTCACGAGATCAACGATCAGACCACATTCTATTCAGTTCGATATGGTCCGATCCAACCATCGATTTGGTCTAATCCAGCCCGATACGAACAATGACAGAGGGAAGTGTTGAGCAGAGGGGTTCGAGGACCCCACTTGGCAAAAAAAAGTAGGAAAAACAAATCCATTTATTACGTATGGTTTATAGCTAATCCTTCAAATCAGGAGCAATATTAGTTATACGTAAGGATCCCTATAAACTCAAACTCATCTAAATGTATATACTTTAGTATTACTGTTTTTATAGGACTCCAGTTAACTTAAAATTTGACTACTCCACTAGATACGTACATACGAACCAATCCGTTACACACCCATCCGGTTCCCTAATCAACACAACATATACATTTGAAAAGTCAAATGTACACCATATATATTTCCTAACCTAGTAAGCCTCACATAACTCGTATCCACCAAATGGAAGGAAGTATGGCGGCTCTCTACTTCCTACCCACATCAATCGCCGGTGCCACCCTCATCATCTCAATATTATTCCTCCTGATTTGCCGGCAATCAAAACGACGCCGCCCTAACCGTCTGCCGAGTCCGCCTTCCCTCCCGTTCATCGGCCACCTCCACCTCCTAAAGCTACCACTCCACAGAACCCTACAAACCCTTTCAACCAACCACGGACCCATCTTCTCCCTCGCCTTGGGCGCCCGAAACGTCGTCGTAGTCTCCTCCCCATCTCTCGCCGAGGAATGCCTCCAACAAAACGACGTCGTCTTCGCCAACCGCCCCCACAGCTTCCTCGGGTTTAAGATCTTCGCCTACAACTACACCTCTATCGGGGCTGCACCGTACGGCCCGCACTGGCGCAACCTCCGCCGCCTGTCCGCCGTGGAGCTCCTCTCCGCCGCCCGCCTCAACTCCTTCCTCCACGTCCGCACCGACGAGGTCACGCGCCTGGTCAACGGCCTGGTTGCTGACGTGTCCGCCGGGTCGGTTTTTGGTAAGGTGGAGATGAAGTTGAGGTTGGTGGGCCTGTCGATGAACATGGTGATGAGGATGGTCGCCGGGAAGCGTTACTTTGGCGGCGCGACGGAAGGGAGAGGAGAAGAAGGGGAGGAATTTAAGGAGCTGATGAGGGAGGTGTTCGAGCTGAGTGCCACGTCCAACCCTGTTGATTTCTTGCCCGTGTTGAAGTGGGTCGATTTCAGTGGACTAGAGAAGAGGATGTGGAGGGCTCATCGAAGGATGGACGGGTTTTTTCAGGGTCTGATTGACGAGCACCGGAGCAAAATGCAGAGAGAGGAGGAGGATGGTGTTGATTCGAGCAGAAAGACGATGATCGATACAATGTTGACTTTGCAGGGATCTGAGCCTAATACCTACTCTGATGATATCATCAAAGGCCATGTTATGGTAAGTACTAACACATTTTTTTTTTATATTTCTTATATAATGTGAATTTGGGTAAAATGTTACCTGTATTATTGATGATGTTGGTGCAGTTCATTATGAAATATATTTTCTATCGTGAGATAAAATAATTGTTCTATATTCACGACTAAAAGTCATAATTTTACGTAATTTTATCAATTATTTGTGTATATAATTCTTTTTTTCAGGGTGCAGAAGAATCTCTTCTTTCATTTATTATATAAATGCATCAAGGGGATGGTGCTGTGTCAACCACTACAATGCGACAAAACAATTAACAACTTCTTTTCATTCTCCACCCAAACTTGTCCGTTCCCATTTCTTTTCTCAGATTTATGGTTGGACGTAGGGATGGCAATTATGCCCATACCCATGGGTATTTTATTATCCAACCTAATTGGGTTGGTTATGAAATCCAAATATATGGATATGGGTAAAGTTTGATGGGTTTGTACCCATACCCATTTACTTTGGGTTGGGTTGGGTTTATAACAAATGGATTTGGGTTTGTACCTATGCCCAAATACAAATTACAGTTTGGTACCTAAACTTAATATATATGCATATCTAGTACCTAAATTTAATTTTTTTTTGCATATGAGTCCTCAAAATATCGATGGAAAATTACGTTTTGGTACCTAAATTTTTTTGGTCTTACATTTTGGTACCTAAAATTTTCAAGTTTTACAAATAAGTCCAATTTTTGCATGTGTAGTTAAAACTCCCTCAAGTAAATGGATATCCATATCAAACCCATACCCATTTAGATAATATCCATATCTAACCCAAACCCATACACACATCACCCAAACCCTACCCATAATAGATGGGTCTACTTGGGTTTGGGCAAAATTACCCATGGGTGGGTAAATTGCCATCCCTAGTTGGACGGCAATTAAAAATTCCCTTTTTATTTGTAGAATATATGTTTCAACACAGCAGTAGGTAGTTGATGGGATACAATTATACAAATTGTTTTTTGTCCGCAAAAAGGCTAAGAGGTCGTTTGGAAGTTGAGATTTCAAATGTATTCAGATAATACGTGTAATTAGGAGAATTCGTCGTTTTTTGTCTCAAAATAAAACTGAATACATGTATATAAGCAGAAGATGGGCCCACCAGAATCATTCATTATAGATGATTGTCAATCTCAGCTTTTACCTGCCATTTACTTTCTAGTTTTCTAGATTTAGATTTCTAAAGTGCATAATGATCTAAGAAAATTTATTTTAGATGATTGTTAAGAACTACTCCGATCTCCAAACCAATTGTTGTATGTAATTTTCATTATAGACTAGGTATGAAAAGAGAAAAAAAGACAAAAACATGATCGATTACTTACGACATTTGTTTTGGTAGTCATTGATACTTGCAGGAACAGATACTACAGCAGCGACAATAGAATGGGGCATGTCACTCTTACTCAATCATCCAGAGATTCTTGACAAGGCCAGAGCTGAGATCGACAATGCAGTTGGCAACAGTCGGCTAGTACAAGAATCTGATTGCATTGATCTTCCATACCTCCAATGCATCATCAAAGAGACATTTCGTCTCTATCCTGTTGCACCGCTTTTGATACCACACCAATCGTCGGAGGATTGTACTGTTGGAGGTTATTTCGTTTCAAAGGAGACAATGTTGTTTGTCAACACATGGGCTATTCATAGGGATCCCACAGTTTGGGAAGACCCCACGAGATTCTGGCCCGAGAGACATTCAGAAGCTGAGGGGAATCCTTATCGATTGCTGCCATTTGGTGCGGGAAGAAGGTCATGCCCTGGCATCGCACTTGCGAACCGGGCAGTGAGTGTGGCATTAGGCACTTTAATACAATGCTTTGAATGGAAAAGGGCCGGTGAAGAAATACTGGACATGACTGAAGGACCGGGACTAAGTATGCCTAAACTTGTGCCACTCGAAGCTTTATGTAAACCGCGAAAGTTTATGGAAGATGTTCTTATCAATATGCAAGGTGACAAATAGATCTTATAATCCATTGTAACTCTTTTTTCAATTTTTGTTGTGTAAGTTTATTAAAATGGACCACAAGTTCTATGAAAAATATCAGAAACATCATAACATACTACAAGTTTATTAAAGCACACCAAAAGTTTCTTCAAGTTTATGGAAGATGTTCTTATCAGTATGCAAGGTGACAAATAGTTCTTATTTTCCCTTGTAACTCCTTTTTCACTTTTTGTTGGGTAAGTTCATTAAAATAGACCACAAATTTTTAAAAAAATACCAGAAGCCTCATAACATACTCGGGTAAATTGCAAGGTTGGTCATTGACATTACTAAAAACGTTCATGTTTGGTCACTTATAAAAATTTAATTTCATTCATAGTCACTAAAATTAGTTAAGTGTTTAAAGTTTGGTCACTCTTTGTCCAACTCCGTCAATTTTGTCTGAAGTGACAGTCAACTTACATAGTTGACGGTTAAATGGCTGACGTGGCTTTTAAAAATAATAAAAACAATATTTTAAAATTTTAAAACTACACCTCGTTGTTATTATGTTTATTAAAAAATAAAATATTTTTCCACGTTATCACAACCTACCATTTATATCCCACAAGATCTTCGTCCTCCTCCATTAAACTCCCAGTCCTCTTTTCGTTTTCCTCTTTTGAACGATAACCACCACCCGACTCCTCGATTCCATTGCCACCACGACGACCACATTCTAGTCCGGCCAGACACTACTTTTATCAAAATACCCTTGATAAATCATGAAATAAAATAAGAACTAAAAATACTTAGAAAAATAGCGGAAACATTTCATAATAAATTTAATAAATACTGAAAAAAACTGTCATTATTTAAACTCGAATCCCTGACACTTGGGCAAACTCAAACATTAAAAGTCTCTACCTAATCTCCAGTCTATACTCATAATCATAAAGTATAATAGCTAATTAATCTCAAATGCTGCTGACAGATAACATTGACTAGACATCCATTGTGATGCCCGTACCGTCCTCCTCCAGCTGGTTTCCCTCGAACCGTCTCTCTAACTGCTCACCCAGCTCTTCCTCTTCAAACTGGTGAGTGAGTTGGGGTCAGTCTACGCCCTTACGTTTTAATACTTCTAATACTTGAATACTTTACTTAAACACCTAACTTTAACTGGTGGAAGTTGTTTGTACTTCAAATCTTAAAATCTTAACTCTTAAACTTTGAAGGAGTTGAAGTTACTCTCCTCTCTTAAAGCTCAAATAATTACTTAAATACTTGACCGACACGGAGATCCCTCACTAGCTAGTCCGGTTGCCCAACTTATACGTATGAGAAGCCCTCCAGACTTTCCTCAAACTTAAACTTATCGTGGAAGGCTCTTACACTTTAACAATAATTTGTTCTTACACTTTAACAATAACTTATACTCGTAAACTTTCAAAGTAAATAATAAACATCCACTTCAAGTCATAATTCAAACAAATCACATATCATCAACCAAACGCATAAACAACCATATCAACCACTTCACAAAATACTTAAAATGCGTAAGGCGTAGAATTTACCCCCTTTGCACTCACCTTATGCTGAAGCTTATTGAATTGAATCCAAAGACCGATTTCCCTTCACTTGCTAGTAGCTTTAATTTGCAATCCATACTTGTGCACATAAACATGGCTATATCAACATCAACCAGAAGTTCTTTGCTTGCACCGCAATTTCTCCCTGGAACGCACCATTTGCTTGCCTGGGATCTAGACCTTAGCTACTTCAAATCATAAACCTCGCCACATACTAAAGATCTCTTGCCAGACTGCTCCAAACGTATAATAATAGGCTCATTTCACCAAAAGATTCGTACAAAAGAACTCTAAATTGGTATAAAAGCTTTTCCGTATTTCTCCAGCCAAGCTTTCGCAATTTCCTTATTTCTTTCTCGTTGAGAGACCATTTGGACTTCCTCGCTGGCCTTTACTGCTGCTAACTCAATTGTCTGCCTGTGATTTTGAAGATGTGGGTTTGCTCCTGGTCGAGGGACAAAAATACAGAAGCCGGGAGACTTTGAGGCCGGTTGGTGGCGTGAGGTGAGGCGAGGTGCAACGGTTGGGGTCTTCTCCCTCTTTGTTTTCCTTTTGCCAATTGTTGTCACCCGTGGGGAATGGGGAAAACAACTACTGGGGTTTTATTTGTATAGGTTCAGGCCGAGTGGGGTTGGACTTTTAGGGTTAGCTTAGGTTTAATTAGTTCAAGGGGTATTTTGGGCATTTCATAAATTACGGGTGAGTTTAATCCGAAACTTAACTAATGCACGTAACTTACTCGATTTATGTCAAAACTTGACACCGTTTGAACCGAGAGTTCGCATTTTTAGTCCTCATGGAAATTACGATGGTATTTGACAAATTTCTCCAAGGGTATAATAGTCATTTTGACTTTTGGGAAGAGCGGGGTGTAATATTTCCTCCACCCTTATAAAAATTTCGTCCACAAAATTTGATCGGGCTCATTTTGCTTCTTTGGCTCATGACACGCTAAAACACAACACCTAACAATGGCCAAGTGTAACCAATGAAAGGGACTGCAGTATAGTGGCACAAGTAATAAATATCGAATCCACGGGTCTCTAGAGTTACTATTACTCAGCTTCAGTTCATTATCTAGCAAACTAGATTAAGGATTGATTTATTAAACTACTCTACTAACTACTCTACTAATTACAAGTTGGGAACTCACTTAGGTATGATTCCCCCTAGCTCCTCAATTAGGTCCAAGTTGCAATTACCTTTGGTTGTTCTACTGTTGATTAAACTGCGGAAGATCCTAAATTAGCTTGGAATCTCTTAAGCTGACCAAGCCCTCTCAGACAGAATACCCGGCAGGCGACTAGCCTTCACCGGGATAGACTGCTAAGGCGATTCACACAGATCTCCACTACTGGAATGAATTCCAGTACAAAGCAGTGAATTGATTGACTCTCGCACAACCAATTCACTACTATCAATCAAGGAAGCTCTCTTAACCTAATCAGATTCTATCTATCATAGGTTAAAGCAGAAATCAAGAGAATTTGATCAAGATCCAATTGTCTCAATAAATCATGCCTCAATCGATTATAATCAAACAGTATAGCATCCAAAACTTCATACAAGAAAGATCCTAACTCATGGAACTAGGGTTCCTCAAAACCTAAGTGAAGGGAAGTTACTCCATAGAGAAGAGAGAGACTGCAGAAATCTGATCTAGATCTTCAATCTCCATCTCCAAGCTTGATTCCTGAGCTCCAATGGCGAAGAAATCCTCCAAAATAGCTCCAAGAATGTTTCCAAGTCGCTCTCTCTCTCTAGGGTTCGTCCCTTGGGTGTTTGGGATCCAAAACCCAGCTCTCCTCCCTTTTGGCTCGGATTAGGCTTAAAAACAGGCTTCCCCGAGTTGCACGGCCAGGTGCACGGCCGTGCACAACACCATTCTGGCCGTGCACCCTCAAAACGCACCGTTTCACTTAATCGATCTCAGCCATCTTGCACGGCCAGGTGCACGGCCGTGCAAGGCTGGATTTTGCCCGTGCAAGGCCTCGGCAGAGAGCGCACGGCCAGAATTATATGTTGCACGGCCGTGCGCCTCCCTGGTCTGCCCGTGCAGCTTGCTCAGCCTCTGTTTAATGCTTCGTTTCTCCCTCGTCCGGACTCCGAATCAGTCGCCGTTTGATCCCAGACGCTCGTAGTCTCGTCCTCTTTCGTTTCATAACAAGCTTGCATGATTCTCTGTCCATAAAGTGAGGTAGAAATCAATTCTTCTTCAGGTCATGCCCGAGTTTCTGCTCCCGAATCGCCAATTGATCTCTGATTGACTTGAAACTTGCGCCTATGCTTCACTTTATGTGCTAGGACCTGAAATGTGACAAAGGAACACAACCTAGCATAAAATAGGCCAAAGACACGGTAATTCAAGCTCAAACAATCAAGAAACAAAGGGGAAAACATGTGCAAATACCGAGTCATCAAATCCCCCCACACTTAACTGTTTGCTTGTCCCCAAGCAAACCTAACTCAAACCAATGCAACTCTCCAGAGCTCTATAGCAAAAAACAACCTCGATCGTAGGTAGCGGACTTCCTAGATCATTTAGCAGCTTACGAGGTCAACCGACGCACAAGTCATCTCATAGCCTCTTCGGCGAGAACGCTAGTCTCGAGTCGGCATCATGGCAAATAGTGAACAGAGGACAAATGAATCGTGGATGAAAAGACTCTCAAAAACAAAAGATCATGGACTCACATTTTTCAAGGTGCTCGATTTTCTTTTTGGAGATGGTTGGAACCCCCTTTTCTTTCTTCTTTTTGCTTGTTTTTCTGATTTTCTCTTTTTTTTTCAAGGGTTCCAACCTGTTTTTGTAGAAAACGGGGGCTCCCACCTAGCAAAGGTTTTGCGGGAGCCCGGCTCTTACCGGCCATGCCAGGAGCAGTTGTCTCGAGCCTCGTGCGGGGGAAAGACATGTAAGGGGGCTGGAGGTAGTAGGTGGAAATTGGGAACGGATTCCCGTCTCCCCTTACACACTTTCGCCCTATTCGCACGGGAGACGTCATTTTAAAGCGCATTTTCGAGCACCTGTTATTTCAAAACATGATACAAGAGTCCATGACAAGCAGAGAGTCCACAACACCACACAATTCAAGGGTCCTAAGATCACTAATTCACTCAATCAACCAACACACTATGAAGAAGAAATGAGACTTCTTAAATGCATCAACATCCTCCATAGTGCTACACTACCTCCCTAGGTTGCAAACCACTACAGAGACTGTCAATTCAAAGCATACTGAGCAGGTAATTGCAAGGAAACACGTACTTGGAGCCCTCAAATTTAAAAATTTGGACAGTGGACTAGGCTCCAAGCACACAAACAGCCAAACATTCACCCGCATACATAATCGAACATCCCCCCACACTTAAGCACGACATTGGCCTCAATGGAGGAACGATAAGGAGGGTAGAACGAAGTTACCAGATCAAGGGTGAATGATGGTG